TAATATTTACAATGGGCCAAATCTCTTCTCCCTCCAAATAAAAGTCCAGGAGAGAAGAAGAAGAAAAGACCCCTTCCAGTCTCTGAGCAACAGGTCTTCCTCTCTAGGCAGCAGGTTCTCTTCTTCTCTTCCACCAGAAACAGTTGCTGGCTCTCTGCCAGCACACACGAGGGAGGTTTCCAAGTCTCTCTCGGCCCCTGTCTCCAAACAAGGGGTCTTTCCATGGGCTGCGTAACCCCAGACACGGCCGCTACACCATGGTCATATCACGAAGCACGGGGGTCTTCGTGACAGTCTGGTATCTTCAGGGGAAATCAAGCCCCTGTGCAGAGCTCCCATGCTCTGCCTCAAAGATGGCTGCCAGCTTCTCTGAAGCTGGAGCAGGGGGGGCCAAGGTCACCCCCCACACACACACATTCCTTCGGCCGTCCTGGCTTATCTCTCAGGAGGCCATGAGCTTCCTAGCTCCTCTCAGCAGTGCATATTGCACTTTAGGACTCCTCTCAGTCCACCACCCCCTCCTCTTTCTCGGAGGGGTCTCTAGTGAGTTTGGGGGTTTTGGTTTGTCCCGTTCTTACCCTCCAAAACTCTGTTCCTGCTGCTGGCTCGGTTCTACTCCTGCTGCTGCTTCTTCCTTCTCTTCAGACATCTCTGTGTCTTCCATGCAGCATACCGGCTTCTGCTGCTCCTTTTGGTCCTTATCAGTTGGCTCTTTGCCACTGCTCTTCGGACGCTGCTGTGTCTACTGCTGCTCCGTCTGCTCCCAGCGTCTCCCAAGGCTGCCTACCGGGAGAAATTCTCCCAGCTCTTAGCCACAGGCACTCAGCCCAGTTCTGAGTCCCTGCAGCCCCCCAACCGGGGGCTGGGGGGGGCAGAGGCCCCCAAGGGGCCAGAGCCCCTTCTCCTCGTGGCCTCTACAACATGGCCACCTCTTCTTCTCACAACAAGTACTACTGCTTCTTTTTCCGGTCTCCAGAGATATGTTTATATTTTGCAGGAGCACTGATTGGTCAAGCCCCAAGGGTCACCACCCCCTGGGGGTTACCACTTTCTTAGTTTTAGGGGGAAAACCTGGTTCAAACCACTACACCATCTTGGATTCTCTGTATCGTTCTCATACTGGACCCTTTGATCCTTGTCCTTCCCTTCGTTACTTTATGCGTGTGCTATGAGACAATAAGCTTTTTAGAAAAATAAGATACAAAATACTTATTCAACAAGGCACAATAATTTGTCTTTTCAGCTTAAGAACTGCAAGCTGCAGGACTATCAGCTTACAATGCTGACAGATTAATGAACCATTCTGCAACTTACAGTCTCCCAACCTTAACAGAACATTGCTTATAATAACATATAAATGTATATAAGAATATAACATGCAATAGAATTTAATGAGTAAACTACTACTACTAATTTGATGAGTAAATTAAATTACTACTACTAATTTATTACAATTCCCCCCCTTTTATTTATTCATAAATTTGCTCATCAAATCCTTCGACAGCTTCTTTGGCTGCTCTTAACAGAGAAGACTGCTCTCCCTTATGCCACTGCTCATGTCTTCATAATACTGCCTGGTAGCGTTAAGCTCCATATTGTCAGTCTGTTCTTCCTCTTTTGTATTGCCATTCATATTCTCATAATTTTGTTTTCTAGTCATGAGCTGTATGTTTTCAACCCTCTCCCTGACGAATTTTGTTACTTTACTAAGAATGCATGGGCCAAAGGTTAACGCGGCTAGTAGTGTTATCAGAGGCCCAGTTGACCCCAAATGTTACAATCCAGAAACAAATACAAGGACAAAACAATAGTGATCCATAAAACAAAGCCAAATACCAAATTCCAGAATACCAAAGAACCCACCCAAAGCGCTGGAAGATCCACAGGTCTCAGATGAGCAGGATTCCCAAAATACCAAAGAACCCACCCAATACACTGAAAGATCCATATGTTTGACATGGGCAGAATTCCCAAAAAGAAGGCCTTATTATCCAATGGGATCTTACCTGTGTCCCAGACGGGGCTGGGGATCTGTGCTCTTCTGCAGCAAAGTCCTGGTGCTGGCGTGAAGATCCAGAGATCCCTCGGATCCGCGGGAGATCAGGCAGAGGTGTCCTGTCTGGGGGGGTCAAAAATTATACCCCAAAGGCACTGAGATACAGCTCGAGCAAGCTGAAAACTAAACTGTCATTTGGGGTCATCCCAGATCGACTGGATTTCAGAAATTACTCAACACAGGTGCCACCTCCTCCAGCCAAGCCCAGGAGATCAACCTCCTCAGCAGCTGCAAGAGCGGGATGTTCCTGTGCCTGCTGCCATCTCCCTAAAGCCATTATCCCCCTCCTGCTGAGAAGATGGGCAAGAGGAGCATCTACCTCACAAGATCTGCTGCCGGAAGAAGAGCGTGTCCCAAAGGATGTCCTCAGCCTTCTCAGAGGGGACGTCAGATCCACTCCAGGGATGGTCCCAGCCCTTCCCAACCCGGACCGGGCACCAGCTCCAACTCTTCCCTTGAAAACAAACAACAAATTCATGACAAGAGATTACAAACCAAAAGTGGAAACAAGAAAAAAAGGTAAAAAGTTAACATTGTGTCAGGGTTCTGGGGAAGGCCCAACCCCTCCAGGCCAAAGAAAAACCCCACCTCCTCCAGCTCAGGAAAACCCAGGCCTTCTCCCTGCCCTGCTGCATTGGCCCAAAGAAAGGCTCCTAAGCCAAGGCAGCCCAAGCCTTTCCTGGCCTGCAGAGCAAAGCAGCTGGTGTTGTGCAGCCCCGCCTTTGCTCCCCCCACGGGGGTTTGTTTTTGGCAGGCTGGCTGCCCCTGCCCCAGCCCCGCCCAGCAAAGGGGGGAACCTTCGGTGCCCAGCCAGGCTGAGCAATGCCCGCCTCCGGGAGCACCCCCTGGGTGTGGACTCATCTGCAAACGGCGTGGGGAGCACGTCTTGGAGGAAGGGGCCACAATCAGCGTCCATCATCTTCAGCTCCCCAGTGTCCAGCTCAACTAAGAGCTTGTCATCCTTGACGTCATCCTCGATGTCTCCAGCAGCAGGCCCACCCGGCACAGCTTCTCCAGAGGCCCCTTCTCCTTCCCTGGGGGCCAGACCAGGCTGTCAGCGTTCTGCCGAGGGCCCCAGCTGTCTGTGAAGCGGGATGAGCAAAACCAGGTTGGATGGTGGCCACCAGCACTTGGAAGACCGGGTCTGCAGCCCAGCTCCAGCACAAAGAGGGCCGTGTTCCCATGTGATGACCCCCCCTCAGTGCTACAGATGTGTGGAGGTGTTACTTGCCAGGCTCCTGGATCAAAGTGAGCGCGTGGATCTCTCCCGTCTTCTAGGGCCGGTGAATGCCCTTCACCCAAGGATGGCACAAGAGGTCTTCTAATGATGGTCTGTCCGAGGGGCGGAGGGACAAACACCACCTGATCAGGTGCTGGCAGCCTGGGGGGAAAATGGCCGGTCAGTTGGAGAAGGATCCTGTCCCCTTGGTCCCACTGTCCACGTGCCCAGGCTGTGCTGGCTGTGCTCAGAGCTGTGCCCAAACTTCTCCATCCATTCTCCAGTTTGGAGGAGAGCAGGATGGCAGGACACAGGCCACCTCCTCCAGCCAACCACGGGACACAAACAGCTTCAAGAGCGGTGTCCTCGTGAGCCCGCTGCCATCTCCCAACACCGTTATTCCCCCCGTGCCACAAAGATTGGTATCCACCTTGAGAGACCCATGGTGGGAACAGGAGCTGGTCCCAGATGCTGTTGGTTCCTTTGCAGAACGGGTGCTTCCCGCAGACCATCTGGTAGAGCAGGATGCCCAGGGACCAGATCGTTGCCGCCTCGCCGTGGTATCGTTTGAGGTAGATCCACTCTGGCGGGCTGTATGACAGTGTTCCTACGGAATACAGACACAGTTCATCAGGTGGATGCTGCCTGCTCCCAGAGCCTCACCCCAGCATCCCTGGCAATGTGGGGCCTGCCCCAGTGGCACACGCTGTGACCCACTGCCTTCTCGCCGGCCCCTGACTCTTGGTTACAAACTTTGGGGTGGACAAGAAGCCGCTGGTGTCCAAGAGGGCAGGGGAAGCCCTGGCAAGGCCCAACCATTCCATGCAAGGGGAAAACCCAGCCAGTGGTGGGGAAAAGCCATGCCTTCTCCCCACCCCACTGCACTGCCCCCAACAATTCATCAGAAGCCAAGGCAAACAAGGCGAGCGCAGCAGCCCAAGCCCTTCCTCGCCTGCACACCAAGCCAGCTGGTGCACAGTTCTGACCATCTTCTCTGCTCCCCTCACGGGGGTTTTGGTCAGGTTGGCTCCCCCCTGCCCCACACCCAGCCCGGGACAGGGTGGGTGGCACAGGCTGTCAGCAAGGCCGGGGCCTGTCTCACAATAACCCCCCAGCCCCACCCAAAAGCAACTTGGCTGAAGAACTAATCCTGTTCCCCCTCAGCCAAAGGGGCAATCTCCGGGGCCACACCCGGGCATGGCCATGCGATGCCCGGCACCAGGAGCATCCCCCGGCTGTGGGCTCACCTGCAAACTGGGTGTAGGCCGTGTCCTGGAGGAAGGTGCCACATCCAAAGTCGAGGAGCTTGGCCTCGCCGGTGGCCAGGTGGAGGAGGATGTTCTGGGGCTTGATATCCCGGTGCAGGACGCCGCAGCTGGTGCAGTGCCGCACGGCCTGCAGCACCTGGCAGAACAGCCCCCACGCCATCTCCTCCGGCAGGAACCCCCACGCCGTGATTAAGCGTGAGAGGTCCTGAGACGGCTCCGGATGCTCCATAACCATCAAGAATCCGTTGGGGAGCTCGAACCACTCCAGGAACTGGATGATACCAGGAAACCCAGTGGACACCTTGCTCAGCAACACGATCTCCAGGGGTGCCCGGGTGCCGTCAGGCTGCGGGGGGACCACGGGGTCGTCAGTGGGGCTGATGCCGTGCCTGTCTGCCTGCTCCCCCTCCGCCAGCCCTGGATGCTCCCCGTCCCCCACTGAGCCCACGTCCGCTCTCCCTCAAGGGCTCCCGGCGGCTTCCACCCTCCCGGGCCTCGGCTCGTCCCCGCCCGTCCCGCCCCGCTTTCTGCCGCCGGCCCCGCTCACTCACCAGCTCGCCCCACTGCCGGATGCCATCCCGGGACACGGCTTTGATGGCCACCTGCAAGCCAAGGGGAACGGCGGGTTCAGCTCGCCGCCCGCCCCACTCTCCTCCCCCTCCTCCTCCTCCCCCTTTTCCTCCTCCTCCCTCTCTTCCCCCCCTCCTCCTGCTCCTCCTCCTGCACTCACCGGGGCTCCGTCCGCCAGGCAGGTCCCCGCGTAGACGCGGCCGAAGCCGCCGCTGCCCAGCAGCGACTCCAGCCGGTAGCGCTCGTGCAGCGGCTCCTTGGCCTTCCGTGCGGGCGAGACGTGGCCGGGAGCGTTCGGGCCGGGGCCCGGCCCGGCCCCCGAGCGCCCCTCAAGCGGCCCGGGCCGGGCTTCCCCAGCCGCAGCGGGCAGCGGCGGCTCGCTGCCGGCGGCCAGGCTGGCGAGCGGCGGAGCTCTGGCCGGGGAAGCCGCCGAGGAGGCGGCAGCGGCCGCGGCGCCCGCGTCCCCCGCCGGCCCCGGCAGGCGCCGGGCTCGAGCCAGGCGGAGCCAAGGGGCGGCGAGGCCGAGCCCGTCCCACAGCCAGCCCCACAGGAGCGCCCAGCAGCGCCACAGCCGGCGCGCCGGGAGCCGGGCGAGGGCGAGACCGCGCCGGGACAACCGGGGACGGGGCCGGGGCCGGGGCGGCCTCGGCCGGCAGAGGGGAAGGGCCGGGGCCATGGCCCGGGCTGGCAAGTGGAGGGGGAGACCAGGAACGGGACAGGGACACAGGGACAGGGACACTGGGACAGGGACACTGGGACAGGGACACTGGGACAGTGGGACACTGGGACAGGGAGAGGAGGAAAAGGCAAGACGAAGTGCGAGAACGAGTCTCTAGAATCGCTGAAAGTGCTGCCGCTGCTGCCGCTGCTGCCGCTGCTGCTGCAACTGCTGCTGCTGCCGAAGCTCCGGGGCCGTTTGTCCGTTTGTCCGTTCCTTGTTGGGCCCCGTGCGCCCCGGGGGCAGCCCTGGCCGCTCCGCTCCCAACCAGCCCCGGCCGCAGTCACGGAGCTCCCCTTCCTCCCGCCCCCATGCCAAGACCTCGGGCTTTTTTAGCTGCTTTGCTTTAGTTGAACTTCTTTGCTGGCGAGTTTGCAACTTCCCACCGCTGCTCGGACCCCATCCCGCCCGCTCGGCCCATGATGCTGTCGCTTCCTCCCAGGCCAGCCGGGCTCTGGACTTGCCCCTGAAGTTTGGGAAGGTGTTTGCTCAGTGAGGAGCCCTGGCACGTCCGGCCAGCGCCAGGCAGAGCCAGCCCCGGGGGAGGGCAGAGCAGGAGGATGGGCAGGGGAAATGCAGCCCTTTGGGGTCAGCGCTGCTCCCCGAGCACACCAGGGCTGCTCCTGTTTTCCTGCCCGGTTCAAGGGAAAATCGGCAACTGCAGAGAGGATTAAAAAGAAGAGAATCAGAAGACTGTTCTTGCTGCCATTTGGATGCCAGTCCATCCCAATAAATGCAGGCTTAATTTGGAAAGGACACGATGTAGCAGCTTTTTCAGCACCCAATATTTAACAGCTGCCTTTCAGGGGACAATGCGAAAAGGGGGGGAGAACGAGAGAAAAGGGGGGCTGGGACCTCCAAAGTGACCAAGGAAGGGGCTGAGACTCTGAAACTGAGCAGGGCAGAGGGGAAAAAACACCCCCAAACCGAGCTGGGGGGGAGCTGGGGATGGTGGGGATGATGGGAAAGGGGTGGGAGAGGGGAGAAAGGGGTGTTGGACAGTGGGCAGGGGGACAGAGGGCAGGGGGTTCCCAGATGGGTCTCCCCTGTCCCCCATCACTTGAGCCCTGGAGTGGTTCCCGGGGCTCTGGGAGGGGGCAGATCCGCACTGGGAATGTCCACTGCTTCTGGAACCCTTTGTGTGCTTGCTCTGGTCCCGATTGTCCACAGGTGCCCAACCCCCCTGTCCATCCCTGGGGGGCTGATGGGGGGACTCCCCCACCCAGCAGCTGGTGCTGCAGCAGCTGTGGGGCAGAGGGGGGTGGCAAAGGGGGGTCCGGGGTGGCTCCCTGAGCTCCCAACCTGCTGTGGGGGCTGAGGGCTGCTGGGGGGGCACCCCCTGACCTGTGTCCCTGCACACACAGGGCTGTTCCAGGTCCTGGGAAAAGCCGAGTGAACGGCCCCGACCGGGAGAGGTTCCTGCCCGGGTCCATCTCCAACTGGGAGCAGCTCAGGCTCTTCAGCAGAGATTTGGGCACCTGGGGGGACACCCCGTGTGGGGAGACCCAGGCCAGGCACTGGAACAGCCAAAGGGAGCTCCTGGAGAACAGACAGGATCGGGGGACATCAACTGCTGGCACAACTACGAGAATGTGGCCCCGTTTGCCCGGCCTGGGAACCCCCATTTTTGGGGTAATCTCCCCCAAATCCTCCCAAATCCTCCCCTGAATCCCCAAATGCCCCCAAATCCCAGTAAAATAGTGGGGCTTTAGATGTCTTTGTTCAGTGTCTTTCTTTTAAATTCAACAAATCAGCTCTTCCCAATGAATTTCCAAGGTCAGTTTGTGACCCCATGGATGTTTCTCCCACTGTGTTCACCCAGGTGCCTGTGGGGAACCAGGAGGATGTGGAGACCACCAGCCAGGTGTCTTCCCAACGTGGATCCTCTGATGGGTGATGGAGTTGGAGCAGCAGACGAAGCTCTTCCCACGGTCAAGGCACTTGCAGGGCTTCCCTTACTGGTGGGTCCCTTGGTGTGAGGTCAAGGCAGAGCTCTGGGTGAAGCTCTTCCCACACTCCCCGCATCGTAGGGCCTCTCCCTGCTGTGGGTGACGAGGATGGAGTTGTGCTCTCTGTGCTCAGCTCGGGGCCTGGGGCAGGAAGGAAGAAGGACAGGGAGGGGATTTGCCTCCGGCCCAGAGGGAAGGCCAAGGACATCCCCCCAAATCCATCCCCGGCAGGACGGCGGCGGCAGCGGGGTTGTCCTGCAGCCGGGGGCGATGCTCGGCTGGGAGATACAGGACAAGACAGGGGCAAAGGGGCACTGACTTCCTCCTCACCTGCCTGGGGGGCCCGGGGCTTCTTCCTCTTCCTCGCAGCCTCCTCCTCCATTCGGCCAAGGTTTGGGAAGGAGAAATCCTGCTGTGGGGGGAAAAACAAAGTGTGAGACATTGGCTTGGGGGTTCCTCCTGCCCAAGTCCATCTCTAGATGTTACCAAGCGGCTCCTGGCCAAGAAAACCTCCAAACCACCAAGATTCAGCCCAAAACAACCCTCTCAGCAGTGGAGTTCCCCCTCGCTGGTCTATCCACTTTGGGGTTCTGGGGTCCCTCCTGTGTGGGCTGCTGGGTTCCTGGGTCCCCACCCTCTCTGGGCTGCCAGAGATCCCAGCAATCCCAGGGGTCCTTCCTTTATGGGCTCCTCACTTTGCCATTCTGGGGATCCCCCTTCTCTGGGCTGCTGGGGATCCCGGGGGTTCCCCTCTCTGGGGTCCCTTTTAGGGTTGCTGGGGGGCTTTGGGATCCCAGGGGTCTCTTCTTCCCTGACTCTCGGCTTCAGTGCTGGCGATCCCAAGGTGTCCAGCCCCCTCTCCAGGCTGCCGGGGGTCCCGGCTCCCCCCACCGCCCTCGCTGCTCCCCCCTCCTCTCCAGACTGCCAGGAGTTCCCCCTCTCCAGGCCCCCATTTCACGTTCCAACCCGCACCTCTCCCAGGGGTCCCCAAAGCTGGGGTGTGTGTCCCGTGTCCCCCCACTCCCCGCCGGTATCCGGCGATCGCCACGTGGCTCCGGGGACCCAACATCCCCCTGCCCATCGCCGGGGCTCTGCCGGGAACCCACACCGGGACCCCCAAAAAACACCTCCCGAGGATCCCCCAATATCCCCCCAGGTGGCATTTGCGGCTCAGCTTTGGAGTTCTGCAGAATCCAAACATCACCCTGCCCCCCCCCCCCCAAAAAAAATCTCAAAGTCCCCGAAGATATTTGGGGCGAGCTCCCCCTCCCCGGTCACCTGCGGGATGCGGGGGTTGATGCTCCTGGGACGCGGGGGCTGCGGATACAGCGGGCGGTGGATCCACGCGCGTTCTTTCTCCTTCTCCTCCTCCTCTCCCGGTGCGGGGGCGAGCGCTGGGCGCTGCGGGTGTGGGTGGCAACTGATGAGTCATCAGCGCTGCGTGCTCGGATTGGCTGAGCACTGCTTTGGGGGTGGGGCTGCAGGAAAGGGGCTTCTTGGCAGGGGAAGACATTTGGAGCTTGAAGGACTCCAAAGCTGAGCCGCA